TTAAACACAGCAAATGTGACGTCAACATGAGTTTGAAGTTCCTGATTTCCCTTATCAGGAGGCTTTTTACACCCTGTATTGCCAAGAGGCAAGCGGGGCAGATAGAAACGTCAACGCCTGTGGTAATGCCCATCCTGAAGATAAAGTCAAAGCAGGGGCAGAGCCTTAGCTTTGTTTCCAATGTCTGGAGATCGTCAGAGAAGCACAAGGGAAAGTGATGAGTTGTTTCCAGGTGTGAGCTCGTGGGGCGTGTCACATCTTATTGAGGCAGCACACAGCAAACATGTGGTATTGTTTTTAATGATCATTTACAGGAAAGAGCATTTGTGGTTGCGACACAGCACAACAGATGATGATGATGAGAGAGATCAGTGCAGGCTGTCGCAAATGCTCAGCTTACATCTGTTTTGTTTGTTTTCTTCTGTGCTCGCCAGAACAATCAGAAAACATTATCAAAGTGAACCACCACAGATCAAGTCTGATTTGATAGAAATATTCAATAATGTCAACGACGCAGCTACATAGCTCTTTATTTCCTGACGTTTAACTTGTATTTGTTATCTGTTACTGCATTTCCAACCAATTGGGTTTTTTTTTTAATCTAACTTTATTGAATAGTTTTATCTTTGATTTTATCTTCTTTTATATTGCTTGACATCAACCTCCCTTCCTTAGAGATATAAAAGTGCTTGCCTTTTTTAAATTTCAGATCTTTACAAAAGCAACCAAAATGTGTGCATACACGCTTCAAATTTAGATTTATTTTTTTTCTATTAAAAGCTCAGCAGTGATAGAAGAGCGGATCACAATTCCACTACAGCGGTGACATCTAGTGGTGCTTTTCCATTTTCACGTAGCACAGTCCTAGTTGAGTGCAGTAGCTGCATTAAATCCTTAAAATCCTTTAAATCCTTGTTGTATTTGTTACATCTTATGTAGACACTTTAGTGTAAGAATTAGCATTAACAGCTTCATGCTACACCAGGAAAATATTTGTGGAAAATTGATGCAGAGCAATGACAAGACTCACTTGTCAGACACGACTCCCTTATAAGGGTGCTTTTCTAAATGTCATCACCATCAGAGTGAGGTCACCATGGGCACACAGAGGTGCCCTGATGTCCTTCTGCTCGCTCCGGGGGAAAACCTGACTAGATGGGCTGCAGGGAATGAAGTAGAGCTGTGAAAGATGGAGAAAAGAAACTGAACACAAGCTCATTTACGTTTTGTTAGTGAGCCGGTTATTATAAGAAGACATGTTGATCGTGTGACTATGTAGAAATAACAACATGTTTGCACTCAAATCTTTAAGGAGCTATTTCCACTTCCTGGTAAGTCTTCTACAAAGTATATTCAGGTGCCATAAGCTTAGCAGGTATCACATTTTTCTCATGTATTTAACATTCACTGGCTTGGCCTCAGTACCAGTGCTGACAGCTACTGACTCAGTCCATAGCTGCTCCAAATTCCAGATTTCCACCTCTGCGGTTGCCTAAAACCCACTGACTGTACTGTGCATTTCTCATTTTTATTTAGTGTTTGGTTTTATTTATTTATTAGCAAACAATTTATCTTTATGGTAATAGTAGATGAGTTATTTAAAGCAGCAACAACGACAGTAGGATCCGCAACATTTATCTGACAGTTTGCCATTGTTTTGCTTTATGAACTGCTTTAATTCTTCAAGGCATAGATTCAATAAGGTGCTGCAAACACACCTCAGAGATGTTCTATATTGATGTGATGACATCACACAGTTGCTGCAGATTGTTGGCTGCACATCCATGACATGAATTTCATTTTCCACCACTTCCCAGAGGTGCTTTATTGGACTGACATCTGGAGACTGTGGAGGTCATTTGAGGCTGTGGTGTTTAAACTGTGTTCACTTTGTACTAAGGGGCTTAAAGTTTGCCAAGAAAATATCCTCCAGACCATTGCACCACCACCACCAGCCTGAACCCTTGATGCAGGGCTGGATTTATCTGTGCTGTCTTGGTGTTTATGCCAACTGTGTTTAAGAAAAATCCCGGTAGATCACCAGTTTCAGAAATACTGAAACCAGACAGCCTGGCAACAACAACGAAATCAGTAAGATCACCTTTCTTCACCATTTTGATGCTAGGTTTGAGCTTCAGCAGGTCAACTTGTCCGTGTCTACATGCACACAGTTGCTTGCAAAGTTGCATTAATGAGTGGTTGAACATAACAAAGTGACTAGTGAATACATACTGTAGACTAATGCTGCTACTATTATGACTAATGATACATAATAACAACATGATAATAGTAATAATCCGATTTTGATTAATGTCCAAGGAAGTAGCAATCTTCAGTTACTGTGGTGAAATATATCCTCTGCTCTTGTTTGAGATTTTTACTTAACATGAGAAAGTTCTCCTGTAGTACATGTGTTGTAAGCAAGTACATGCGGTACTTAAAATAAAAAATAATAATAAATTTAAAAAAACTACTTCTTCTGTGGCATCATTCCTGTTTTAACTATAATAGCACATATACATACAAATCCATACACCAGTTAAGTCCAGGCAAGGAGTAAAAAGAACAAAAAAAACCCCAAAACGCAGAAACTGTATAAACTTCAGTGTCAGTAAAGAATGAATACTTTAGTAAAAGTAATTGTCTAATGATCATATTCAGGCAAAACATTTACAGACTTAACTGCATTCAAGTCATTTAAAGCTGCCTTACATTCATCAAGTGAGACTCGCTCCTTTAGTTTTAGATGATTCCAGGAGGAAGGAGCTGCAAATCTTAAGGCTGTTTTTCCAAATTCATTGTAGCAGATAGAAGGAATAACTCTTGGGTATATAAGACAAAAACTTCCCACACTTATTGAATATAAGTCTGTAATTAAGATGGGAACAAACCAAGAATAGCCTTCTAAATAGAAATAAACCAGTGGTTGAGTCTATGACGCGACAATGCAGACAATCCAACCTAACGTGCAGTGGTGAGTAAGAGCTTTAAAGTTTGTACTGAATCTTAGTGCTCCGTGATAATGGTATTGCAGTTGATGTTGTAAAGTTAGTTTTATTTGAAAAGATGTGATTACCATTGCTTGACTTGCAATGTACAACGATGTCAACTAGATGGCGGTAACATCTAGTCTTCGAGCCCAGGTTTTTTTTTTTTCGTTCTGCGCTGGCCTTCAGCCTTCTGCGCCTTCGGTTTGCCAGCAACGTGAGGAAATTTGAAAATAATGGCAGGCAAAGCTGAGTGGCCACTGTGTAGCCAATTAACGAGTCACTCAACCGGCCAGGGAACGGCGAAATGAACGCACCGGGTATACTTATTTTGCAGCAGACCAAGTATGACGGTGTGGAGACCGTAAGAAAGTGTGCAAGACGCAGATGGAACAGCTGCATTTGTGCAGTAAAGCAAATAAAACCTTCACTTTGTGCAAGCGTATTTTCTGTACAGGGTAGTCACAGCTATCAAACAATCCATGGCTGGGCATGTGTTGATGCTGCTTCAGCTGAAGCTGCCGTACATTAATCCAGTTTTTTAATTTTTCCTGTTGTTGAACAAATTCCCCCCAAATTCCAAAAACGCAATAATAATGCATGTGGATGTTTACTGAAACTGAACTCACTACTCTCGTAGTTACGATCATCTTCATAGCAACGACAGGTGCTGACTAAAACACTGAAGTGACTGAACTTAACTAAAACTTGAAGTAGTGGATTTGTTCCCCCCTCTGTATCGCGTCACCAGCCTCTGATATTGCACAACAGGCAGCTTTTTCCTTTCTTCCTTTTTTAACTCCAACGACAAGCATCACTGCCTGTAGATAAAAGACCGGTCCACCTCATATCAGCTATCAACAGCCACTTGACACTGAGAAGGGAAAAACCGACAGTCAGCTTTTTAGAGTCAGTGTTGCGGCCAATTTTATCGGATATTTTCGTTGGAATGGCAATCTGACAGCTCATCATACAGATAGTAATATTCTTAAGTGTGTAGCATTAGAAGTGGATGAGGTAATACCTTTTGAGAATAAAAGAAAATGTTGCTAATCAGTGGCTTTTAAACGCCAAGGTGCGCCTAATTTATCGGCTGATAAAATAGAAATAGAAAATAAATAAATAATACAATTAGAGCATCGTTTTCACATTTTACAATTTCAGAAACTATATGCTGCTGACAGAAATCCTGAGGTTTTATATATTTTTCAGATTTTAAACTATATAAAAAGATATTAGCTGTTTATTTGTAGGGAATTTAAATAAAAATTTGTTTTTGCTTTTTTTATTTTATTATTATGGCCAGATTTATTAAATTAAGCCAACCCTTCAGCTTGTTAGAAGCACTTCCAAACCTCTAATTTTACATTCATGACAAAGAGGCGCACATAAAGGACTGGAGAGGCTTAATTATGGTCTGAAGCAATTCACACATATTTATTTCTGCATTTTAGAAGCTTCAAGCCAGGGAGTGAAATCCGGACAGGTTGTTATAGCTACGCAATCCACAGGGGTTCCGATGTCTATTTAAAAACCTTCAGACCCTCCCTCTCTCCTTTAAACAACATTATATATCACACACACGCTGCATGTTAATGCCGAGCAATTCTCAGTGAGCACTAAAACACATCTTAAAATTAGCTCATTCTGGTGTTTGAGTTCAAGCTCCCTGACAAGGCAACAGAGGGAACATATCATCAGAATTCCCCCTTTGGCAATACCTGCTGATTGGGTCCTAAAAAAAAAAAAAAAAAAAAAAAAGCAAGCGGCTTTTAACTTTTAATATTTGGCTCTGAGAGTTCTGCCACGAGCACTCGCGAAAGAGAGAGTTGCCTCTGATTTTTCTTCTTTCATTTTTTTTCTTTTGGAGAAGAGAAATAAAAAATTGCCAGTGCAGCTTCGTTTTCGTCTTTTGTTTTTCTTTTTTTTTTTCTTAGCACTTCGGTTAAAATCCGTACGCGGATGAGTGCGCATGTAGGCATTCTGCTTGAGATGTTTTACGAAACTTTAAGGATGATATACCTTGGATGTTTCCTGTTGCTCTGTGGGCTTACGCATGTCATGGCAAGCTATCCTATCTGGTGGTAAGTTTAATTTTCATTATTTCCCGGACAAGAAGTGACACATTAAAAAACATGCGGGGATTGTGGATGACCTGTAATTTTGAGTTGTTATAGTTGTGACTGCTTGTCTGTCAGCTGCAGAGCTTTAGCGTGTGGTGACGGTGATCTTTTAACTTTACTTTTTATAATATTATAAGACATGCACAGTGTGACTTTCTAATCGGGTCATTAAAATGATATTTAGTAACCCATGGAAACCGAATGTATACAGGCGAAAGGATGGGCTGAATTGTAAACGCAAGAGATGAATGAAACGTGCAACTTTGCAAATCGGGAGCAATTTTGATCTCCAGAATGCAGCAGGTGCAAACTTTATGTGCTTGGAAGCGTGTGTCTATGTGTGCTCGTGCGTCCAGAGTGTGTGTCTGTGTGTGCGTGTGTGTGAGTGTGCGCGCGCGCGCGCGCGTGGTGATGTTGTCATTGTATGTTGCCATGTGTTGTCATTTTTGCACTTACCTCCCGACTTCATGTTTTCAGTCTTTCTGCCATGTAAATGCCAAAAAGAACCAAATGCGTGACGCTGACATTAATGAAGCAGAGCAGAGCTGCGTTAAAATTACGATAGTGTAATTAGTTAAAAAAAAAAAACAGGATTATTGTATTTTGGTATGTTGTGCTGTTTTGTAATATTTCAGCTTCATCCATCAGTCTTAGCTGTTATCAAAGCACACATATATATATATGCCTGATTTTTAATAAATCATTCAATATTTGGAGGACGCTTAATCTACTTTTCTTAATGGGTCCCCTGGTGGTAAGACTGATGAGAAACTAATTACATGCTCAGCTGGAAGGAAATCCTGATATAAAAGTGGGCCCTCTGGATGGAGCGATGGGGAGGGGGGGCTGCACAAACTACATTTTTATTATTTTTTTTATTTTCCAGTGTAATTGAATGTTTGGTTTACTTTATTTATTTGATGCCAGTGCAAGATAAAGTTTTGCATTTTTTTTTTTTGTTCTTTTGGCAACCCCGGCCGGGGAAACCTTTGAATTTCCCCTTTCTTAGGGTTTTTTTTTTTTTTTTTTTTGTGGAGCTTGTTATGAATGACACAATGGAAGAACAGTTTTCCATTCTGTCATAGCTGAAACCCTGCAGCAAGCCCAGAGCTAACTTCTGTGTTGATTGTTTGATTTTGGAGGGTGCCAGTGATTGAAGGGTCTAACAACAGGGGTAAACATAATGGAAGCAAATTTTGCTGCATCACTCCCGCCTATACAAATAATGTCTAAGTGTAAAAGTAACTCATGAAATCACTTTTCAGTTCTTTCATTCCTGACACAATGCTGAACTTTTTTTTAACTTGAAAGATTACTTGAGTGATTTTTCTGTCTCATGGCAACTCATCCCAAGTCAAATAATGTGGTTCCTTTGGGATTGCACTTAGCATGCCTGTATTGTCTTTCCGTTTGCTAACAGCATGCCAGCCATCTATGATCTAGACCTTCTGTGAAAAGCAGCTTACGATGTTTTGCTGACAGAAGCTTGCCTTCAAGCAGCCATGGGAGCTGCATCACTCTCAACCCCTGCACCGCAGTCGTTCTTGGGGATACGGCTCTGCACTAAGACAGGTTCATGTCTGTCTATTCTCGACCTGCCATGACATAGCCTGGCTGCACCCGCCACCCCACCACCTTCTTCACTGGTCCACCCCACCTTAGAAGATAAATACCTGGAGGTGAAAGCTTGCCGCACATTCCTTTTCCCAAACATATTCTCTTGATGTCAAAGTCGGCTCCAAGGCCTCAGGGCCCACAAGTAAAGTGGTAATTCTAAGGCACCCTGCTTGGGCTTGCTGAAATATGCATTAAACCTGTACTGGATAAACTTAGATGAGTGGGGGAAACTTTGTACTGAGGCAAAAAGTCATATACATCGTATATATTTTGCTTAAGCATTTATCTGTAACAGTTATCACTAAGGTGCTCCTTTGAAAACAATAGCCTTAAGAGCATGAGTGAATCCTGTGTTTCCTCATTAGTTGTACTAAACATCACATGTGCAACATCTCTGCAAAGCAGGAGAAAATCAGTGGATTTCTTTTTTTTTTTTAGAAAGAATTAAAGAGATTAAAGTTGCCAAGACTCAATAAATACCTAAAATCTAAATAATACAGCAGGTATTTTAAAATAGTTGTTGGAATTAGTATCCAACAACACAGTCTTTTGTGCAATAACTTCTTAAAAAATCATAAATCATCCATGGTGAAACATGCCCCGCCGCCTCTCACGGGCCATTTCCTAACACAGAAAAGAGGTGGCAGGGATTACTCAGCCCCAATGAGACAGGCATGGAGACTCTTGAGCCAAGCAGCCTAAGCACACTGACTCACATTGAGCTTGTGGGGTACAGTTCAAGACAGTGACAGGGCAGAAATACCTCTGCTGACCCTCATTGGTGTGAGTACAAGGACCTTTAAAGTTGCTGGTTTTCCCAAGATGATATTGCCACTGACCTTCATGATTACCTGCTGTTGAGATGCACACTTGCCAAAAACATTTGAATGCAGGTTCAAGAAGAGACAGAGAAAGAGCTACAACTGACAACTCCCTTCATGTCCATTAAAAAAAAGAGAGCTCTGCTACTAACCTGAACATCTGTACCAGTTCTCTTTGGCTGATGAACTTTCACCAGTAAAAAAGGGGTCAATTGTAGTAGGAAACTGCCTTGTGTATTGTTGTTTGTAGCAGACAAAAGGCAGATAAATGCGATATGTTCTGAAGAGGTTTTTAGCATGCCATTGCTCACTTACTGTCTCATTTATGATGAATTAGGCTGGTGTAGTCTGTAGAAATTAGGCAAGAAATTCTGTTGAAACCAATGTGACTCATTGCTTTGATGTTTTCTTGGGAGAAATAACAGGAGTAACTCATTGGGTCAGTTCATGGCTCAGGAGCACCTTTGACACCTGGCAGACATCCTTAATAATTACAGAGAGCTGAAAATCAACCTTTGAATGTAAAACCTAATTGAGGTATTAAAGGTTGGTACGATGAAAGCCATCAGAAACCGTCAACATGTGGGGTCATTTGACTGTGAGGCTCTTTCTTTTCTTCAGGTTAAAAAAAACCCTGCCTGAGGGCCAAAGTCAGGAATTTGGTAATCTTGTTTTGATCAGCGATTAGTCCTTGAACAGCAGTGAACAGGTCAGCAGATAGTGAGCTAACTGCAAAGCAAAACACTGCACACCTGCTCTTAAGCTGCATTTATAGAGAATCTACATTAACCATTATGACTCCAGCATCGCCCAGGGGATGACAAACTGAACACTCCTTCCAGCGTTCAGTCCTTAATAGACAGTTGATGTAAATTAAGGGCTTGTCTTGATTGCCAGCAAGCTACTTTGTAGCTACTCCAAAAGGTATTTGCCAAAGATAACAGGAACTGTGCTATTCAGTAATTTGGCTGTTCTGTGCCATTATGAAAGAGTCAAAGTGCTGATTTGATAATTTACCATAGAAGGCAATTACTGCAGGCCAGTTATTCATGCATTAAAAGAAAAAATGTCATTTTCATCCATCTGTTTTCCATCCATGCTTCTATCCAGCTTATCCCGGCCAATTTATTAATTTTTATATATATATATATATATATAATCAAATGTATTTAAATGGAGAGTTCAGAATCCAAATTCAAACCTGTTAACTGCTTTTATATTGGTAGAAGAGAAGAATTAGAAGCCGGAAGTAAATATTTGATTTGCTTTGGAAATCTGTTTTTTAAGTCATTGAGGGGCAGAGCTTTGTTGTTTTTAGGCTAAAGACAAATCGAATCAGCCTCCAACACTTTTTGCACTGCTTGATTAGAATCCTAAGAAAACTATATAAAACTTTAAACAAAATGGCATAAATCAGTATGCCTTTTGTGCAATGCGGAAATTCCAAAACATGGCCATGCAAGCACCCTGCAGCGTCTTTTTAAGTCCTTCTTAAAAATGGGTCATTCATAAAATGGATATCCAACATCTGTGATTACTACCTGCTAAAAGTCTTAATTGAGAGGACACAGAAAATAAAGACAAAGAGAAAGCAATACAGGCACAAAGAGAGCAAGAGAGAGAGAGAGAGAGATGTAATCAGTGAACCAAGTTTGCACTTGTTGTATCCCAGAATACCTTCCTCAAAAGAAAAAAGGAGGGGAGGTTCAGCGTTACTCTTAATACACTCTCTGAAGTTTCAGCGTAGGGTTTGCACTCTTATTACCCTAAGCTGAAGGCCTGTTAAGTGTGCGGACAGTTAATAACAAGGTGCAGTTTTCCAAGTTGTCAGCTTAAGGTCTATGAAGACCTCTGGATGCATAACGGACTTTCATCTTAAACAGAAACACTGCCTGCTTCTGAGACTGCAGGGCTGCAATTTCAATACACACAAAGGCCAGGTGCCTGCAGAGAGGGTAGTTGAAGGGATAAAGAATGGATGTCTAATGGTAGCATCTGATACAGAAAAATAAACACACACAATCAAACGTACTCAGACGTAAAATTACACTGCACCAGGAGGGAAATTAGTCCCCCACTTGAGTGGTGTTATATCAGTAGATAAAGATGCAGACAGATAAGATATAATTATCCAAATGCACTGACAACACGACTTCCTTTCTGCTTGTAGGTCACTAGCAGTCGGCCACCAGTACTCATCACTGGGCACTCAACCTATCCTTTGTGGCAGCATACCAGGCCTGGTGCCCAAGCAGCTGCGTTTCTGCCGGAACTATGTGGAAATCATGCCGAGTGTGGCTGAGGGGGTGAAGATTGGCATCCAGGAGTGTCAGCACCAGTTCAGAGGCCGACGCTGGAACTGCACCACGATCAATGACAGTCTGGCCATTTTTGGTCCAGTGTTAGATAAAGGTAATGTTACAAAGCACACAGAGTTTTCTTTCCTGCTACTTTTCTGTCAAAAAATAACAATTTGTAGAGTCCTTAAGTCTATAAAGATATTTTCTTGAAGAAATGCCACTTATCAGTAAAAAGTAGGCAACACTTTTTGCAGAAAGAAAAACAAACTATGCCTTTCTTTGACAGGAAAAGATGACCAGAGTAAAGTAGTATTATTAGCTTATGATGACTCCACTGTCTTTGAATATGTATTTCAGAATGTCTTAATCTCTGCAAAGTTCTTGGAAGTATTTAGCTCTTTAAACCGACTGAAAAAAAGAGCAATAAAAGTGACTTATCATGTCTCTCTCCTGATTAACTCTCCCATTAACAATTCTATATTCCCTTTGTCTTATATTTGCATTAGAAGAGCTGCACTCCCAGCATGCATCATTCATTATGCTGATTCAAATCCTTGTTTAAATAGACTTTAGACTGAACAAGTCTCGGGGGTCTGCGTGCATGCAACGATGTACACGACTAGCCTAAGTCGAGTGAGTTCTGTCTTGTTGGAGTTTTCTTTAGGAGGGGATCCCCTGTGATTGCTGGTATTTTCTTCTGATGTACTTTACCCAAGAGATGAACTGAACTGAAGCATAGAGGTTTTCCAAAATACATTTTAGCTTATGCAGTGATAATTTTCAGGCATGTGTCTAATCATGAGCTCAGTCAAGAGAAATCCCCATTGCCCAGAAAACTAGCCATAAAACCAAGAAAGAAAGAAAGATGATATATGTGTATATTTAATAGTTAATGCAGTTGATCATAATAACAATTTTAAAGAGTGAAATATTTCTTAGTAATTAATGAGGGGCTAGTGCAATATTTAGTGTGCAGACATAAGTGTGATCTTTTTACTTTATTCCATCTCCCAGCAGGAAAGCAAATGAGACTGTTTCCCAAAATATCAGATTCACACTTTGATTGGATAGATGAATTCTTCTTCCTGATTTCTGAAATGAGTTAAAAATCAAGAATCCATGCAGGCCCCAGTGGCTGAGGGTCGTGATCCAAACTCGTCATCTAGTTTACGGAAGACTGATGTAAACACAAGGGGGCCGGGGGTCACGTAGGGCAATTGCTTTTAATAAACTCTTGAGCCAGTTGATAGAAGAGGCTGGAGTTGAAGTAGGTGGCTAACGATAGGGGTTCTCAATCCCACTGCTATTGTGGTGCAAAATGCCACCACGTCTTTCCCTCTGCATCCCCTCCCAGGCCTAAATTGCAGGGGTGCTGACTGGAAAGAGAAGGCGGCTACTGGGCTCTAGTAAATCATTTTGATTGGATTAAGGTCACTCAGGCCCTTAATAATGTGAGAGGTCAAAGTGGCTGGATTAAGTGCCTTTGTCAAAGGCTGAGGAGAGTAGCTCAGGGGCTCACAGGCCTTTGATAGGACTTAGTAGGAGAGAGCTTCCATTTCATTGGATTTGATTGATGCTAGTGTTTGTCCATGCAACCAGGCCATTGTCCTCACTGGTGTCAGTTTGTCTGAAATTCAGATTCTTGTTAGTCAGTTTCCTCCTTCCTTTTTGTTGCCAGATTTGAAAGGAAGAGTAGGCACCTTTATTTGCTACAGAGGCTTAGTTACTGTCAGTTCAGTGCATCACTGCCCGTGTCCACTTCAACTCCACTGAGAACATTAGAAGTTTGTTTTAAAGAAGTGGATTAAGAGGGACTAAAGGAGTAAAGCCTTTACAAAAAAGAAGGCAATGTAGTAAACGGAGTTGAACTACAACTAAAAAATCAATTGAAATGAACAGGTTGTGCATTTTGAAGATAAGTTTAATGGGTTACATTAAACTATATGCACATAAAAATGCTCTTACTCAATGTGAGCATACATTAGTTGACCACACAAACACTCATCTAAGAGTATTATTACTTTAGAAAAAAGCATATCTTATATCATGTTCTCTCCTTACACATGGTCTAAACCTCTTTTTTTTCTCCACACCCCTGCCTCCAGGCTATGTCTGCGTCAGTGCTCATTAATTTACATTAACTAAAGTGTCAAAACATGCACCACTGGAATCTGCCTGTGATGAAAGGTAATAGAAAGCTGCACAGGTGTTCCTCAGTCTGCAGAGCCGATCCCAGAGCTATTTCGGCATTCTTGGTATTTACAGAAAACCTGAATGCTATATGGGTATAATCAGTCTCCAGTTTATGACTCATGTGATGGGATTAGGTTTCTTTGCTATAAAAAGTGGACAGTCACAGTTTCACAAGTCTTAACACCCGTACAGGAAGTCAATGCACCGTCATTTTTCTTTTTGAAGATAATGAAGTTCACTGGAAATTCCTATTATGTAATTTGTTAGCGATACTGAAAAGTTTGACACTATTGTAGCTCTAGCTTGTCTTCATTCACTGTGGGCACGTTTGCACTGGCCAGGATGCTTTGTTTGCCAGGAAATACAGATACCTAAATTGATCTAAATTATTAAGTTCCATCTAAACTAACCAGGAAAAGGCCAGGGGATGTGGGTTGTGACCTATGACCTGAGGATGAGAAAGAGTAACTATTTAGGATGAGCCAAAAGGTCCCTGCATTTCATGAGACGTATGTCTCTCCATGCTGGGGGAGGGAAGCTGGCTCACCAGTATATCATTAACTCTGTGCAAGAAAGAAAGAAGGGATGTGGTAAATGGAGTTGATGGGGGGACCTTAGCCCCACTCCCCGCTGGGCACTGCTCAGAGCACAATATCTTCGCAACCATGAGATTAAGCAGGAGAAAAAGTGCTTTTCCCCATTCACACGCCCTTTAGATTGTTTTATTAAACCATTTGAATAGGGATTTCCCTGTCTGCCGACAAGCAGGGTCCAGCCAATGCATAGTTCTCTGTTGCTATGACTTAACTTGGTCCCCACTAATCACTAGCCAGGGCAAATTTCATATAAAATATCTGGGGCTATTGTGGGACTAACACAGCGTGACAGTGGCAACACAATAGGGGATTCAACCCCCCAGCAGGTTGTAGGGACCGCTTGGCCTGCCAGAGTCTGGCAAAGTTTGGTGGAAAAGCATTGTCTGAGAAGAAATACCACAAATTGGTCATAAAACTAAGGAAAAGCAGTGGAGCTAATGTCACAGGTGGAGTTTCCAGGTACAGTGAATGCTGTCAGAGGTGGATTTAAATCCAAATGAAAACACGCGTTTAAAAAAATGGGTGATTGTTCTGATTAAGTTTTCATTAGTACCTTCCAGTGAGTTTTTACTGTCATGTATAAATGGGCCACACACGAACAGTGATACCATACCATCGAAACTAAATTTAGAATGTGTTGTATGTTTATAGTCAATATCAACAAAAAAGGTAATCTGATGAATCAGAAGCTTGCAGGTGGGGCAAATGGGGCAAATTTTCAGCAAAGCTCTTCAAAATTTTAGAGATATTTCCATTTTCTTGAATGCTTATTCATTTGATAACACCAGGCTTTGTGAAGATCTTGTAAAGCAGCTTGTGAAAAATTGTAAATACTATATAAGAAATCTATTATTTCACACAGAAATGCCAGGATATTTTTCGTGTGCTTCAATCCTTCTCCACTGACTATTTTACCACAACATTGCACTCCCCTCACATAATTCTATGACAAGTTCACAGAATATCTATGCTGATGGCTGTGCGCTTTTTTTAGTAGCACAGAAGTATGTTCAAAGATATTTTCAGACACAAATGTTAGTTCCAAAATCCTTTTTCGGCATTTGAAATTAAATCTGTTTTCTAAGTCTCTTCAGATTTAATGTAAGCCAAACACCTTAGATATTCACTCAAACTGAAAACACAAAGCTCATGCTCAGTCAGCTTTAGATGAAGCATGGTGATGTGTAATTAATCACTGTAGACAGTTCCTTCATGGCGCAGTCTTTGGCTACTTTGACTTTTCACGAAAATGAAACAACACCAAATAAAAAGAAACGTGTTGGATTCACAAAGTGGGATTTGAGGAAGGAGAGCATTAGTTCAAATGTATTTGAACATTAGTAACCTTGTGTGTATACAGTAGTGATAATGAAATGGGTGGTGAGGGATGCCAGTAGACCTTTTCTCTTGCATCATTGTTTCTAATGCCCTTTAGTCCTGGAACTGGTTGGAACCTGCTGTAAGGGAGGAGCTCGTTTTCCCCTCAGCTTTATATGCCTTTACTTTTTTCTTTTCTTTCTTTCTTTATCATTTTTTGTTCTTCAGACAGAAACGTGCACTGTTTCTATCAAACACATACTCAAACACATCTCACGCAGACAGCGCAAGATTTCAATATTGATCTTAAACCATTTCTTTTACTCTTTTTTTTATCTTTAGTGTGTTCAGTTCATGTTTACTCCTGAAGTTTCCACTTCATCCTGTCTCTTCTCCTTCTTTGTCTTTGCTTGTGTTTTTGCAAGACCATACAAGTACATATATTCAAAGCAACCACTCCGTCTAATGATTCATGTTAAAGCAGCTGACAAGGAAAGGATAGAAGGAAAGTCTTTCCCTTTTTGGAATGGTATATCTGTTCGCTAAAGACCCATCTCCATGTTGTGTCTATGAGCTGTCCCCTCAGTGTGAGGCTGTTTCCTAACCTTTCAAAAGCTTAATTGAGTCTCTTAATTATAGGCCTGTCAGGCCCGTCTCTTCCTCTCATCTCTCTGGAAGATCCTGATCCCTCTGACTCATCAGTTAGCTATGTCAGACAGAGACGTAGAGGCCTTGCTGGCCTTATTTAGAGACAGGACGATTGATGTCTGGTTAAATTAACCCACACACTGTTGCGATATAGTAGATACAACCCAAATACAAGCAGCAGACAGGAGTAAAGGTCTACTTAGTTTGTTTGATGCTTTCTTGTTTTGTTTGGTTGAAGATGTTTGCTGCCAGCATATCTTACATATTATTAAATTTACACATTGTATATATTATATATTATGTATTAAAGCTATATCTTTCTTATTCATTTTTATTTAAATTTAATATAAATTGAATTCTGGAAATACTCAAGAGATACATTATCCAAGTGATGCTTGTCTGTCTTTGTCTTTCCAGCCACTCGAGAGTCAGCTTTTGTTCACGCTATTGCCTCGGCGGGAGTGGCGTTTGCGGTGACCCGTGCCTGCGCCGAGGGTTCAGCCAACATCTGTGGATGTGATACACGTCACAAAGGCCCCCCTGGTGAGGGCTGGAAGTGGGGTGGCTGCAGTGAGGATTTGGAGTTTGGAAGCATGGTGTCCCGGGAGTTTGCTGATGCAAGAGAGAATCGGCCTGACGCACGCTCAGCAATGAACCGCCATAACAATGAAGCAGGGAGAATGGTTAGTTCTCTTATTCGTGTTTTTGCTGTGTCTGTGGTAGCAGTTCTTCTGCTTTTAAAAGTTATATTAACTAAACTTTATTTTTTTTTATCTGTAGTCTCTCAACGACAACATGTTTCTGAAGTGTAAGTGCCATGGACTCTCTGGCAGCTGCGAGGTCAAGACATGCTGGTGGTCTCAGCCTGACTTCCGAGTTGTTGGGGACTACATGAAGGACAAGTATGACAGCGCTTCTGAGATGGTGGTTGAGAAACATAAGGAGTCCCGTGGATGGGTGGAGACCCTGAGACCCAAGTACAACTACTTCAAACCCCCTACAGAGCGCGACCTGGTTTATTATGAAAGTTCACCCAATTTCTGTGACCCCAATCCTGAGACCGGCTCCTTTGGCACTCGGGATCGCATCTGCAACCTGACGTCCCACGGCATAGATGGGTGTGACCTCTTGTGCTGCGGCAGAGGTCACAACACGAGAACTGAGAAAAGAAAGGAGAAGTGTCACTGTATTTTCCACTGGTGCTGCTATGTCAGCTGTCAAGAGTGCGTGAGGGTGTACGATGTGCACACCTGCAAATAGAGAGGTTTTCGTCTTTTCTCACCAAAACATAATGACTTCACTGGGTTGAAGAAGAAATGCAGATTCCCACCTGCAAGACCAGAGAGACTGTAAAGCTCTGTGACATGTGCGCGCACAAAGACACAACTGCCTCGTGTTTTTGTTTTGATGCTACAAAGAGTGAGTCTCTGCCTAAATTAACTGAAACAGCTGAGTAGGTGTCAAAGTCCACGAACGTCACCCTGATGGATGGATTGTTGTGATGATGGCAATAATGTTGATATCCTTACCGAGCATGAAAAAGGTGTCCTGATGTAGGAAAGGAGAACTTGACAAACACCATATTGGTGATTTTTTTCCCAGTGTAGTTACTTTTAATCAAGAATAGTCCAGCACTACCAATGCTTTCAAATCTGCAAGGCAAAAAAAAAAAACATTAAAAAAAGGCATTTCGTTGAAAGTGAACGTTTCCTTCAATGTGTAATCATCGCTTGTTTTTGCAGTGAAAAGTAACAAGAGTTGTGAGCAGGTCACATGATCAGACACTCAACAGCATGTTTTCTCCTCCTCGACATGACTACTTTATTTGCGTATTTTTGAACACTAACACGATCATTGTGTGCGTGAGTGTTTCTTTGACAAAGTGTTATATGTTACTGATGTTTGGGTAAGAATGCACTTGCACCTGAGTGAATGTAGTTGTTTGCTGTGATGTGTTTACATTCTCAATCTCTTAAGCTAACCAGTTAATATCTGCTTTAAACCACTAATTTTATTCGCGAGTAGAAAGGAAGCCACATCCAACAAGCGTCGGCAAAACGAGAATATAGTACGCAGTCTGCACATTTCCTGAAAGGCCAGAGAACACCTGGATCAAAAAAACCATCAAGAGTTATGACCAAAGACCAGAAAAGAGCCTCCCCATCCACCGCATGAGGCTGTGATAGTCAGTACCATTGATGAATATGAAGCATGTTCTCCTTATTCTTAACAGTATTAGTGATGTGCCACGTGACTCGGTGTGGGGAAAGCTGTTATTTATTAAAGGTGTATTCCCATATACACATATAATATAATATTTAATCAAATAGAAGCATACTCCCTGGTAAACACAGCACAAATGGTAATTTAAAAAAGCAAGAAAAGAAGGCAGACAAAGCTGTATTTTATAAGCTCTCAATATTGCAGTGTAATTTGCAGTAATGTGATGACCAAAACGTGTGTATGCGATCATCCTCAGCCGTGTTCCCAAACTAAACAACAAGCAGCATCACTGAAACCATCAATACTTCCTTTGTTTTAATGCTGCTACAATAATATGTGTACGTGTTTAGGTCCTTACACACAGTTTGTCCTCGTCTGTCTGTTTAATATGTGTATTCTTTGGCATGTATTGATTCTTTCTGTGAAAGAAATCTATTATAAGTAGTTTGGGTTAAAAAAAAAAAGTGAAGTTTTACTAATTTTTGCATACAGTTTAACCAAATAGACCAGAATAGAGTTTAATATGTTATTTTAGTCATCTGTTACCTTGTAGTCATGCTAAAACATCAAGGCAAAGATGAAACACGTTGTGCTTTCTTAATTTGAGAAGAAATACAAAATAAAAATTCTTTTTTTACTTACGTGGAAAATATAAAACTACTGAAAGCTGAGACAGAAAGTTACATAAAGTTTATGAAAAGTGCGTTTCACTGGTCGCCTCCACTGTGGAGGAGTGTGTAGAGTTTCACATTAATGTTTACAGCTAATGTAATGCTACGTCTCAGGCGTGCGCATTTAATTCAAAAATGCCCACCCAGGATTCGATAACGTCACGACTGAAAATATCAATAAACAGCCATAACCAGTTTCACATTTTAGATCATTTTTAGCAAACTACGCAGCAACCAGCATTCATACTAAAAGAGCTGTTACAGTACACTTTTTCTGTGAGTGATCGCCTGTATGGATAATTTGGTTCGTTCTAATTTGTTTTTGTTAAGTCTTTAAATCCAAAGTTTTGTACAAACTAGTTCTGTGTTTTTATGAATTTCTAAAAGCCGATGTTTTTTTATAATTATTTATTTTATGCTATGTACATATTAGTAATTAAAAGTATATATTTGCGGAAATACATGTTTTGAAATGGTGTTGTGTGACTTGTAACTTGTAGCCTTTTTACCTCATCTCTGTTGTTCCACTGACTGGATACAGGTGTTTGTCCTACTGCCTGTAGTAGATTTCTAAACGTTAACTCTGTAACACCAAAATAAAAAAAAAATATTTTAAAAAAGAAAAAAAAGAGACAATGTTTCTTTTTCTGTGGTTGAAGATTTTTATTACAGTTTTTCTCAGTCGCTTTGGTGCGTTTCTCAGATCAGAATTGAAATTCTCATAACTATTAGTTCAACCTCCACAACACTCAGTCATTTGTGCACATCATAGTAGCAATTTCTCCTCTCTCTGAACAAACTGCAAATGATTTTGGACATGAATCAGTTGCTTCCATACATTTCCCTGCTGCTTTCTGACATTTCCATTTGCTTATGTCATGTCAGTCAAAAGTAATCATACCTATGGATGCTGAATAGTCATTCCCAATAAAACTAATAGTCATACATCCATTGCTTAAGTCATCACACACAAAATTGTTGAACTAGTTATCACATGCCAAATATTGGCCATCTGTCAAGCAAATCCTATACCTTTCTGTATCATTTTTCCTGGAAATGTCTCCGAAATTGAACAATTGATCTCAGGTGAATTACAGCTGTCATTCATGAGGAGGCTCTACCAAATTGGTGATTTTATGTTTACATGTATTCTACAGTGAACAAGTGACTGTAGCATATTTTTCTTTTGCACAATTCTGTAGGATTACAAACACTTCTACACAATGGAAATGTGAAAGGTACGTATTCAGTGTCTCAGTTACTCCCAAGACTCCCATAACATCTACAGTGACTTTACTGCACATTTCAGATGGCTGTACAGGTAGGCCATAGTGCTGTCGTCAGTATTTTCAGGTGTCACCAATTGTTTTTGCAATGGGAAACACTGAAATTATAAACTGTCATAGTGGAAACATGACAATGCCATTTGACTATCTTGTTCATAAAGATGGTGTCAAGACTTTTCATTTTGATGGCACTGACAGTTTCATTGACATGGATACTTGCTTTTGAGGTATGGATAATCAATTCTGTGCATGTGACGTGCTTTTGCAGGCTATCCACTAGGTTTTGCAGTTTGCACTAATTGTTTTGGGAAATGCACTAACTGCTGTGCAAATGTTATTGGTGTTCTGAGGAACGCACCAAAGCGACTGAGAAAAACTGTAAAAACATGCACAACTGGTGTGGAGCACCCTGAATTACGTTGTACATGTACAACTACAATAAAGGCTATTCTATTCTAAAACAGGGGCGGCCAATTCATTTCCCCAAAGGGTCAGATTGGACTGGGACTCTCTAGATTAATTTTATCTCTTCATAGACTTATTGGTGCATGTGCTCATTTTGGCCCTTGGGAAAATGCCAACCCATTACCAAATATAAAAGTGAAAAATAAATAGATAGATAGATAGATAGATAGATAGATAGATAGATAGATAGATAGATAGATAGATAGATAGATAGATAGATAGATAGATAGATAGATAGATAGAT